CGTGGGCCACCCTGCCCAACGGACACTTCAACCGCCGTCCGGATACGGTTTCCAACACTTATATGGGTAGTTGGCCCGCAACACGAGGAAGAATTTAACACCGACGTTGCCGTAGGCAACCAGTTGAGCTTTGTACCGTTCGATTATTTCAGAGCCCGCTCGCCTCTTCTTTTCCACCACATGATATGCAGTCGAAGTGCACCTTCGAGGGGCTTCTATGGGTGGTTAACCGGCACGCAAGGGCGTTCCTGTTCAGCTGCCACCCACAGTGCACTCGCTGCTGTGCACGTTCGCGCTTGACTGAAGTCCTCCGGGTCCAAACAATCTGCGTTCGGCTTGACGTCATTGGTTTTTACAAACGGTCAATGCTAAAGGTGGCTCACTAAGAAGATTATACGTGATTACCTTACATCTTTATGTTCGTGCGGCAGGTATCTTTGCACTTGCGTCCTCCTCTGGTGTGAGAATGTTCTGGACATGGCGCGTGATAGTGACCTGGCTCTCCGGAGACAGATGTATAGATACAGTCCTTATTAACAGCTATGCCCTTATACGACCTCTTGTTAATGGCGCGCTTTCCAGAATCACGAAACACAGAGCATTGGGTTCCAGACACCACGATGTCACAGAGGGTCGGCGCTTGACAAAGCAATACCTCGAGTGGTGACTTCCTATTGGCGCGTGACGAGCTTTGGTCTCAAAGGGTAAAAGGCGTACATAGCCGCGTGACCCCAGAAAACCAGCGGCAATCCTGCACCAAACATCATGTACGGAGCTATGTTGAGAGTTGTCCGGTGCAATCGCTCAGCTTTAGCTTGGTTTCCGACTTTAAATACCTAACGGAACACTTTGTTTTCTATGCGAAAAATCCAATTTTTGATTTTCTCCCTGTCTTCGTGCGGAGAGAACATGTATTCGACAAACGAACCGTTTATCTAATTCGAGATTAACATCCTCAAACATGTTCTTCTTTGCCATGCACACCTTGCAGTAGTTCGAGTTGTGGTATACAAAGCTGAGTATATAATGGCTACCTTGACAATCACGCGGTGTCATTTAATCCCATAGGTCGCTACAAATGACTTCCCTGACTTGATCAATTGGTGCGTGTTCTCTGGTACCCTTGGTCGGCTATCTACTCGAAAATGCTCACCGTTAGCACACACACCATACATGACTTTCGCTCTCGATCTTACTGTCAGATACAGGGTCTGTGGATTCATTAATAACCGCTTTTAGAATAACCGATTCTCTCTTGACCATCGCTCAACCAAGATACGAGTATCCCCAACAGAACACATCAGTATATTTGTCCTTAGCGATGGGTCGTTGATGAGATGTAGGCTGGTGATACTATTCAAAATCCATCTTCTTGGCATGCTGGCTAAGCGTCGAAGGTGCGAGCTTTACTAACTTGCTGATGTTGTTTCCAGAAGGGCTTTCCAGGAGGTTCCTCTTCAGGTATCCAACCTCTTTGTACCTTCGGCATCGCCGCGATTCTTCTTGGGTTTCAAACCCCGCATTTACGACGGTCGGTCATCAGCAGACATCATACGCCCCACATAACAAGATCGTTGGGTTATAAAAGCGGATTTGGAGTCACACATGGCCGTCAAAGCATGCCTTACTTCCGGTTCAGCGTACTTGATGATGGCCTCTAGTACCGGCTTAGGTCGCGAGATTGTTGCCGCTATAAGAGCATTTAAGTCCAGAATGTGCTCGTTTTACGTATTCCTTAGCTCCATTAGCTTTATCCGCTGTTGCGTCGAGAGCGTTCTCCTAGAAGAAAATACGTCTGATCCATCACGAACCAAAGAGTCGAGTGCGTGGCCCACCATAGTTGATGGGCTGATGGTACAGGAGTTTTGCTTTATCATGTAGATGCTGGTCGAAATCATTCACCATGTACCGCTCAGACCAGGCGCAGCCACATGTCGGCTCTATCATCTCAATCTGCGTGATGACTCGGCTAAAAGCGCTCTTAAATTTATTAACCGTCGTTGGAGTTGCGCATGTAGATTCTGGCGTCCGGCGGCGGTCAGTGTGCTTAATACCGCCCAGCCAGTTGTTGAGTCGGATACTGCAACAATGGTGGAGCAGCCGCTTGAGCCATGAACGGCGCACCTCGTTCATTATGGTCAGCGCAAAGCTCACCATTTGCATCTGCTGAATTGGTGCCCATGCCGGGGTTTAGAGCGCCGAGCTCATGTATTTGCATTTCTTGCTGTAATGCTTGACAATATTTGTTCCGTGTAGCGGGGCTGCCGTCGCTCTTTGCTTAGAGGAAGCATAGCTAGGGTCGCCGTTCTTACAAGAACGAGTACTAGTGTAGTGGATCGCAACCCGCTTCTTCTAGGTACTTAAGCCTTGTCCATGCCGGAGTTTAGAGCGTCGAGCTCATGCATTTGCATTTCTTGCTGTAATGCTTGACAATATTTGTTCCGTGCAGCGGGGCTGCCGTCGCTCTTTGCTTAGAGGAAGCACAGCTGGTATCGCCGTAATTACAAGAACGAGTACTAGTGTAGTAGATCGCAATCTGCTTCTTCAAAGTACTAAAGCCTTACCAAGGGTAACAAACATGCAGCGGGGCTGCCGTAGCTTTGCGCTTAAGGAAGCGTCTTTCGGTCACCGACCTTTCATTTGTTACAAGAACCAAGTACTAGTGCAGCGGATCGCAATCCGCTGCCTCTAAAAGTACTCGAAAGCCTTAACCAAGGCAAACGAACACTTCTGTTCAAAATCGAAACTAATATTTTTATATTTTTATCTGAATGTTAAAAGTTTAGATTTCCCTGAATATACTAAGCATATTTAGTAAAATCTGAATACATCCATAACTACTGGCTACATAGCCCCGTACCGTATTCTTGTTGGGTATGTGGTCACGTTATGCACATCGTGTGACACGCACACACCCCTGTTATTAGGGTTCGTGTAACCCCGTTACACCCACCCCCATTAAGATTGAGAACGTTTACAGTTCCAATCAATTATTGCCTCAACGAGGCTCGCGTGTCCGTTAAACACTGCAACTTCATTTGTTGGAACAAACAACTTCCTTGCTCAATGAGCCCTGTTTCAATGACACCAAAATCTCTAAGTCTCGCCGGATCTGACGGCGAGCATGGGCAGAGCCCAACTTCATCTCTCGCACTCGGTGCAACGTCGGACAGTGCGTCCGCAGCACCAAGGGGTGTATATCCTAGGCTTGATGAGCACAAACATCGCACTCCGCGCACGCTTTCAGTGCCGGGTGGCCTCTATGAGGATGTGGTCGACTATGAGTCTGACACTCCTTTTCCCGCATGGGAAAACGAGGAAGACGAGCTGCGCCAGCGGCGCGATACGAGCCCTGCTCGTGTCTTGCGGACCCCATGTCCGTTCCCTAACTTCTCATCAACTGAGGCACGTGGTGTGATCACCAATGACCTCGACGGGAAGCAGAGGCGGCAGCTTGAAGTTGCCCGTAAGGCGGCTCTAAAGCGCGCCCATCCACGGTCGGTCATGGATCCTCGTGTGGAATATGGCTTTCGCCCTGCGGATCCTGCTTTGGAAGCGAAGGACACGGTAACTCGATCGTTACGCGTCCAAATCATCAGCCCCCCGGCCAGAACGGATGATGAACTTGCCACACGGATGATGTTAAAACTCGTTTCTTGTTCCCACAAGAAATTCCGTTGGAAACTTGTCGCACTCGTCTGAGTGCACAACGAGGTGGTCCTCGTGTACCCGCAATGCGGACAATACCTGTAGTGCTCACCCCTGGCGAAAGTACTATAGATGACGAAGCTCTCTTTGAGCGATGGGTGCAACAGCACCGGAAACTTTCCCCACTGCATAACTCGCAATTGAGCCAAAAGGAAGTGCACGTGCGTGTGAGCGACACCTCCGCTTTGAATTTGCTAGACTCTAGGCACGCCGTCGACTTCCTTCGGATTGTCGCCCTGTGACGTATGGGTTCACAACCCTTAATGCTCCCGCGAGCTCTGTGTCTTCGACCGCAAGAGCTCGAGGACACTGCTTGAGCTCTGCTCATGGCCCTTCTACCTCCCTGGCTTTTGCCTGGGAGCGCGGGCGTGTGATGACGCGGGACGTCCTGATCGTTCCGATCAAAAGCGTTCACGGCGATTGGGCAATCTTGCCGAAGTGGCGCCTCAAACTCCCACGAGTTTTGAGAGTCGGTATATCCCCGCCACTTCACCAGATATTGGGTCTGACCCTGGTAACGACGTCGTCGTACTAGACATCCCACGTGATAGTGGACGTCACCGTTCTCATCAAAAAGAT